TGCTACAGGCCCATGCCAGGCATATACTTACTAGAAGCTCAATTAATAAAGGGAGAAATGCATGGGTCAAGATGAAGAACGGAGGGACGAGTGGGTTAGGGAAGGCTGGAGGATGTCACTCGTCCACTAGCAGCATGACCTCATGAGCTGAATCCCAGGCAGGATTTGAAACTCTCCATACTCTCCATCACAGCGGTGGGAGGGAGTGGGGGTACTCGAAGTATGAAATCAATCACCCCTTCACTCCTATTCTCATCAATGGTCATGCCAATTCTTCCCAGCCCAAGCTTACCTTTTCTTTATTTCTTTTTTTTTAAGTACTTTTTTTGGGGGGGGTCACACCTGGCAATGCACAGGGGTTACTCCTGTACTCCTGGCTCTTCACTCAGGAATTACTCCTGGCAGTACTCGGGGGACCATATGGGATGCTGGGAATCAAACTCCGATTGGCCTCATGCAGGGCAAATGCCCTACCCACTGTGCTATCACTCAGCCCCTCAGTCCCCCTTTATTCCCGTTACCAAGTTCCTACTTCTGAAACCAAGCCACAGCTGGGAATGTTCTCATGTTATGTCTCCTCCTCACATCCTACTCGCCCACCCACTCACAGAGCTCTGTAGCACCTTCCTTCATCCAGCTCCCAATATCCTTTGTCCAGAGAAGCTCGCTTGCAGAACTTGGGAACCACCCAAATGTTTTTATGAAGTTGCATGTGCACGACAAGAAATCAGGACGGATGAGAATGGTGACTGCAAGGAGATGGGAGGAATGTGTGGACGCTTCCAGACTTGCTCATGAATAAAGAGAAGGAGAGTTCAGTGCAATCTTATGCATGCATGCTTTGCTCAAAACTGAGAATAAAAAAAGAAAAGAAGAAAATGTCCTCATCAGAGGACCAAGGACAAGGTCACAGGCAGTTATTTTAGTAAATATTTGTTGAATGAGAATGTGCACCTTTCCAGAAGCACCAGGAATACGAAGGTTACAATTACGACACAGTTAACAGTGTAGTATCATCACTTGATCACTTGACTTCCCGTTAATCATCGATTTGCTCGAGCGGGCACCAGTAACGTCTCCATCTGTCCCTGTCCTGTGCTAGTGTAGCCTAATGGCGTCTGTTCATTCTAGGAACACGAAGAGCCTCAAACTGATGGTTCAGGGTCTTGACAAAGAAGTCTGACCATCTGGTAGGTGGGCGGCCACACAGTCTTTTGATGTCCCATGGAATCCAGCCCATAACGGCTCTACTCCAGCAGTCGTCTCCAAATCTCATAACGTGTCCAGCCCATCTGATTTTTGACGCCTTGGCAAACAAGAAAGCGTCCATGATTCTTGATCGTCAATGGAGGTCAGAACTCCGGATTCTTTCTCTCATTTGAGTGAAACGTAATACTCCAAGCATAGCTCTTTCAATTCCTCTTTGGGAGACCCAAATAGCATTCTCATCCTGTTTGTGTAGGGCCCAGGTCTCTGAGGTGTATGTTAATGCAGGAAGAATAATGGAATCGAAGAGATGTGCCTGGAGCCAGAGGTTCTTCGTCCTCTTAGCTATTTCTTCAACGCTCTTGAAGGCATTCCAAGCCTCTCTCTTCCTCTTGCGCAACTCAGGTGCCAGGTCATTCATCATGTTGACTTCTCGACCTAGGTACACATAACTGTTGCATTCAGAGATGGTCATTTCGTTGAGAGCGAATGGAATGTCAGGAACGAGGCTGTTTCTCATAAACATTGTCTTCGTGAGATTCAGTTGTAGTCCGACCTTTCCACACTCACAGTCAAAGTCGGCCATTTGGCTAATGTTTATGCCGTTTGGCTAATGTTTGGTGTTATTAGAACAATGTCATCAGCAAAGCGAAGGTGGTGTAGTTGCCAACCATCTATCTTCACTCCCATTCTTTCCCATTCCAGTCGTCACATGATGTTCTCAAGGGTAGCACTGAAGAGTTTCGCTGAAATGGTATCACCCTGCCGAACCCCTCTCTTGACATCAATGATCACTTCTTTGTAGAATGGTGAGATCCTGGTAGTGAATCCGTAATACAGCTCATGGAGGACCCTGATGTATTGAGTTTGAATGCCCTGATTGGCTAGGGCTTCAATGACCGCTTCCATCTCAACAGAATCAAAGGCCTTGTTTACTGCCCGGAGGGGAAAGGGTGTTGGTCCCTTCCACCCTCCTCCCTCTGGAAAGAAAGATGGCGGCCACATGGGAGCCTTGTGGACAGCAGGTATGAGTCGGGTATGTGGGGGCAACTAAAACCTCATGGGAAGGGGGGCGTTCCGGTCCGTCCTTCACACCCTACCGAGGTCACCAGTTGCCCCCCACGAGCGGCTCTCCAGCATGGCCACAGCCCCAGAAGTACAAGGACTTAATGCAGAACCCAGCAGCTTGGAGCAGAAAAGTGAAAGGACTATGCGTTAATCCAGGCCATCATGTCTGCCCGGAGGGGAAAGGGTGTTGGTCCCTTCCACCCTCCTCCCTCTGGAAAGAAAGATGGCGGCCACATGGGAACCTTGTGGACAGCAGGTATGAGCCGGCGGTGTGGGGGCGACTAAAACCTCATGGGAAGGGGGGCGTTCCGGTCCGTCCTTCACGCCCTACCGAGGTCACCAGTTGCCCCCCGCGAGCGGCTCTACAGCACCGCCACGGCCCCAGAAGCACAAGGACTTAATGCAGAACCCAGCAGCTTGGAGCAGAAAAATGAACGGACTATGCGTTAATCCAGGCCATCAGGTCTGTCCGGAGGGGAAAGGGTGTTGCCCCAGTCGCCTTCTCCTCTCTGGAAAGAAAGATGGTGGCCGCATGGGAGCCTTGTGGACAGCAGGTATGAGCCGGGGGACTGGGGGCGACTAAAACCTCATGGGAAGGGGGCCGTTTCGGTCCGCCCTTCACGCCCTACCGAGGCCACCAGTTGCCCCCCACTAGCGGCTCTCCAGCACAGCCACGACTCCAGAGCACAGAAACCAATTTCTTAACTATCTGACTTTCAGTAGAAATACTTCCAGGGTCAATAAGTAAAATAGCAGAAATCCAAAACCAACATATAATTCTTGAACCCAGCTGTAGAAAGCAAATCACTTCACAATGCTTTTTCAGCATGTCTGATTTGGGGGGGGGTAAACTCTAAATAATAGTGGTGAATCTTTTATTGAAACAATGAATCTAATCAAAGCAGATAGAGTGTTAACTAGAATTCATCTGCCCCACAGGGACTGGGAGGGGTGGGGGGGGTTTATTGGGGTTCTTCATGGTAAAAAATAAGTTTTGGTAAAGGGAAATGTGTTTGATATTTGCATGACTGAGACCTAAACCTGAAAGCTTTGTAACCTTTCCCACGGTGATTCAATAAATAAATTAATTAATTTAAAAAAAAAAACAAAGGCCTTGTTTAAATCAATGAACCTTAGACAGAGCGGCATCTTGAACTCCTGAGAAACCTCAATGAGCTTGGTTATTGTGTGGATGTGGTCGATGGTGCTGAATCCTTTTCAGAACTTGGCTCGTTCGCATGGTTGTCCTTCATCTAGTGTTCTACCAATCCTGTTCAGGATAACTCGAGTGAACAGCTTGTAGATGACAGACAATTGGCAGATTGGGCAGTAGTTGCCAATGTCGTGGATGTCTCCCTTCTTGTACAGTAGTACAGTGCTGCTAGTTTTCCATTGGGATGGAACCTTGCATTCAGACAGGTAGCGTGTGAAGAGCCGAGCCAGCGTATTTTTGTCAGGATGGTTGCTTCAGCAAGAGAGCAAGAAATTGAAAGTACTTCATGGTTCTCATACAGATTAGAGCAGAATACTCACTGCTCTTAACGTTTTGCTCTTCCTCTGCCTCCCATCTTTTTTAACTCCCTTCTTTCTTTCCTCTTCCTTCCTCTTTCCTTCCTTCTTTCTTCCTCCTTCCTTCCAACCTTCCTTTCTTCTTTCTTCCATCCCTATTTTTTCCTTCCTTCCTTCCTTCCTTCCTTCCTTCCTTCCTTCTTTCTTTCTTTCCTCCTTCCTGTGCCTCAGGACAAAAACTCTAGTGTCACACATTCACCGAACAGTTGCTGAGTTTAAACTAGGATAAAAGGTGATGATTGCCAACAACAATTATCTAGCAATTACAAAAAACCCGTCCTGATTATTCTAGAACTGTTATTCACATTGAAAAAAGAAAAAGAAAGAGAAGGAAAGAGAGAAGAAAGAAGTAAGAAAGGAAGGAAGGAAGGGAGGAAGGGAGGGATGGAGGGAGGGAGGGAAGAGAGATAACACTGCTTAGGACCATTGACCTCTGGGGGGTGTATTCCTCTGCTTGAAATCAGAACTGAGAGCAGCAGGGAGGCCACCCCCTTAGAGTCTCTTATTCATGCAGTGACCCCAAAGACAACCCCATGGATGTGACTCAACTCTGAGTGAGGTTCAGAGACAGGCACCCCGGTTGACAGTATCTGTCTCAGAAGAAAGGAGGTGAGAGCTCGTGCGTACAGGGGCACTTCATAGAAAATCAGATGGGTGAGCCCCGGGAAAAGGGTGTCGCCTCTCCTTCAAAATGGAAAGCCACAAGGTGTCACATGTCACTCCCGAGCAGTTCCGGGACACTGCAGAGGGAAGAGGTCAGGGATACCTTGGCGGGCTGCTAACTGAGCTCTGAGTGTGGGCTTGGGCGGAAGGGAGACATTCGTCCACTCCTCTTAGAGAGGGCAATAGAGTGGACTCAGCCGAGGTGACCCAAGGGGTCAGAGTCTGTTGCATGCGGGACTCCCCACTGAAAGTCAGAACATCTGGGAGCTGCAAGAAGCCTGAATCCCCAGCAACGAACAGATGCATTCGGAGAGGGAAGTTCATGCATGAGTGAGTCTCGCGGGGAACAAAGGTTTCGTTATGTTGAGATCAACAGCAAACAAGAAATTTGACTTGTCTCCCCTCCGGCCCTGCCGGAGCCTGTCCTGCCTTATTTGGTCTCTCCTGGCGTGACGATGCCACCTGACCTCTGGGGGAAGGTGGAGCCAACTCACCCGCCATGCTGCTGATGTTCACCAGTCTGCCCTTGGACTTCCGGAGAAGCGGCAGAAATGCCTTCGTGACCTCCACAGCCCCAAAGTAATTCACAGCCATGCATCGCCTGTACTCCGCCATGGGGATGAGCTCACCGTCGGCTGGCAAGCCCATGATCCCCGCGTTGTTGACCACGGCCCACAGACCTGTGAGGGGAAGGGAAAGACTCAGGATGCCAGGTGTGGCGGGGGCCCTTCAGAGTCTGGGCTCAGAGCCCACTCTGAGGTGTAGGACCTCAACGCATCCCTGACACTCGCAAACCGCCGCCTCCTGGAGTCACTAAAGCCACCGGCCTTGGTGGGGAGATGTCATGAGAAAAGCCAATTTGGAAATATTGAGCAATGAGTTTGGGGTGGGGGGAGGGGGAATGTGTTTTCTTTTTGCAGGTGGCAAGGAGCACTCCTGACAGTGCTCGAAGCTTAGTCCTGGCTCTATACTCAGGGCTCATTCCTGGCAGTGCTCAGGCAAGCATCTTAACCCCCGTACTGTTTCTTTGGACAGGGGAGGTATTTTCTTTGGCCGCAGAGCCCTTTCCTGCAGTCTGGCAGCTAGGTATTTTCTGGATCTGGTGGGAAAGATACCAAAGGAGAGGGACATGCAGAAACAAAAGACCGAAAGGCTTGTCGCCGCCTGGCAGAACGAAGGCACACCGAGACACTGGGTGGGACCTAGAAATGAAGGTCTTGGACCCACACCCGGAGGTCTGGCGTTTGCACAGGTTCACGGTAGGGAACTTTTGCTAAACGTTTGTTAGATCAGCAAGAGCTGACACCGACACATACAAACCCTCGAAGTAATTCTGGGGGTGCTGGTAGGTGGGACTGGTGTATTGGCTATTTACAGCATGGGACAGTTTTCATTCCCTCCACCTGGTGCACACCTTTGACAGTCAACATGCAGCTGGCAGCTTGAGAAGACTCTAGAGCATTGTCTAAGGAAGGCCAGAGAGCTCTGGGTCATGCGGGGTCCTGCCACCTCTTGCTCAGTCACTGCGCTGTGAGAGCAGCTGGACCACCTCATGCAAACGACCAGGAGCAGCCAAACCACCCCATGTTAATGAGGGGGAACAGCCAGACCACCCCATGCAAATGAGGGGGAGCAGCCAGACCACCCCATGCAAATGAGGGGGAGCAGCCAGACCACCCCATGCAAATGAGGGGGAACAGACAAACAGACCCATGCAAATGAGGGGGAGCAGCCAGACCACCCCATGCAAATGAGCGGGAACAGACAAACAGACCCATGCAAATGAGTGGGAACAGCAAGACCATCCCATGCAAATGAGCAGGAGCAGTCACGCTCACACCCTGATCCTAAGCACTCACATTTGAACCCAGACACTTGGTGTGGCCAAAAATAAAGAAAAGTAATTCCTTCATTTTGTCCTGGGGGCCAGACCGAGTGGTGCTCAGGGGCTCACTGCCTGCTTGTTGCTCAAGGGTCACCCCTGTCAGTGTTCAAGAGACCCTACAGTGCCAGGGATAGAACTTGAAAAGTCTGGACTCAGAAAGATCTTCTTCCGGGCGCTGTAGAGGTATTGCACATGACCAGCGCAACGCCCAGCTCCACAGGGGCCCCTGAGCACCCCCCGGGGTAGCTGTGGGTCTCCCGAGCCCCGCGCTGGCTCTCAGGCCCACCACACAGAACCAAGCATCACGGGGACTGGGCATCTGCGCCACACCGCTGGGAGGGGGCATATTTTCAAAAATTATTCTGATTTCTTTGAACCGCTCAGAATCCATCCTTAGGAGACAGCGAGATAGCACAGCGGGTCTGGTGCTTGCCTTGCATGCCCCAAACCTGGGTTCAATCCCCAGAACCCCACGTGATTCCCTACGCACCATCGGGAGTGATTCCTGAGCACAGCCAGGTGAGGCTCCCAAACAAAAAAGGCCCTCCCGTTGATCATCGATTTGCTCGAGCGGGCCCAGTAACGTCTCCATTGGAGACTTTGTTGTTACTGTGTCTAGCATATCGAATACGTCACGGGGAGCTTGCCAGGCTCTGCTGTGCGGGCGAGATACTCTCGGTAGCTTGCCGGGGCTCTCCGAGAGGGGCGGAGGAATCAAACTCGGGTCGGCCATGTTGGCTGCGTGCAAGGCAAACGCCCTACCGCTGTGCTATCGCTCGAGCCCAAACAAACAATAAACAAAATTAACCTAAAAGGGTTAGGTGAACAAAATTAACCTATCCTTCTCCCCCTGGCCATAGGAAAGAGCGTGCAGCTCTTGCCAACTTCCAGAAGCCAATGAGAAGTGCAGGTACGCAGGTTCAGTGATGGCAAACTCCAGGCCTCAAAGGATAGGGGATGAGCTGGTCCCCTCTCATGCCCACCATCCACATGGGACCCTAGAGGTCACGACCACAAAATGCCTCCAGCTGCTACTGAAGCTCCTTAATGGCCATGACCCAGAGACACACAAAAGAATCTCTGAACCAAGCAGCTCACTGCAGAGATTTCTCCGGACCCGAATTATCTAAAATTTTAGAATTCCAGGAGCAGGCGGCCACTCTTGTGGCCACACAACGTCTTATGCTATTCATAACAAGGAATACAAAAGAGAGTATGAGGGAAATTGTCTGCAATAGAGGCCGGGGTAGGGGCGAGATGGGGGGATATTGAGGACCTTGGTGGTGGAAGATGTACACTGGTGGAGGGTTAGGTGATCAATCATTGTATGACTGAAACTCAAACAGGAAAGCTTTGTAACTGTACCGCATGGTGATTAAAAAATAATAATAAAATAAAATTAACATTCTGAATGTTTGGGGAAAAAAAGGTAATGTGGAGTTCATGGGGTCCAATTCAATCAGTTTAATCAGTGACTGAGTAAATAACAGTACTCCGACATTAAAAAAAAATAGAGGGGGTGTCTCTGCAGAACGTGCTTGGACAAATGACAAGCAAGAGGACAGATGAGTGAGTGGCCTGGTGTGAGGTCGGAGACCGGGGCTGGACAGAGAAGCCAGGGCCCACAGCTGGTGGAGCAGCTCATATCTTGATTTGACAGAGTGACACCACTTTTTTTTAAATTTTTGGGTCACAGCCAGCATTGCACAGGGGTTCCTCCTGGCTCATGCACTCAGGAATTACTCCTGGCAGTGCTTGGGGGACTACACAGGATGCTGGGAATTGAACCCGGGTTGGCCGCGTGCAAGGCAAACACCCTCCCCGCTGTGCTATCGCTCCAGCCCCATGACACGCATTTTTAAATCACAGCGCCACGTGTGCAGACATGCGGGTACACAGGTGACCAGTGAAGCGCTGAGGCTCGTCCCAGTGCCAGCTGCCCAGTGTGGCAGTTATGCAAAGTACTGGCAAGGGAGGCACTGGAGAAGGGAGTGTCTGTGTGCGGTTGACAACTGCCTGGAATGGACAATCATTTCAAATGAAGATCGAAGAGATGTAAAACAACACCAACAGCAGGTGCTCCCCGCAACTGCTGTCTGACTCTGCGCTGGCCTCGGAACAAGCCCATTATAACCACAGGCCCTCATCAGAGGGGAAAAGTAATTCAAACTTATGAATAATGAACGTGTCCCATCTAATGTCACGAGACTCTGTGTAGGGGAGCCCTACAGTGTCTGGGTCTCTTACAGGAGCTGGTTTTCGGTTTAGTCTACGAGCCCCAGAGGACTCATCAGCAGATGCCCTTGACTATTGGGCCATTTCACTGCTCTGCCTCCTGGCTGGTCTGAGAGAGACTTGGAGAGCAGACAGGAGGTGCACTAGCCTCCTCCCCGCGGGTGCTGGCCCACCGCAGGCTGCCGGCAGAGAGAAGCCCACCTGGCGAGCACCACTTCTCTTCACGTTTCATTCTGGGCCACGCCCCGCTGTGCTCAGGGTTTACTCCTGGGTCTGTGCTCAGGGGTCCCTCCTGAAGGGAGGGGCTTGCTAGGCAGAAAGTGGTGGGCAGAGATACAGTACAGGGGTGAAGCACTTGCCTCACAGGTGGCCAACTCGGGTTCCATCCCCGGCACCACACTGGGTTCCTTGATTTGGCTCCTTTGATTTGGCTGAGCCGGGTTCGATTCCTCCACCCTTCTCGGAGAGCCCCGCAAGCTACCGAGAGTATCTCGCCCGCACGGCAAAGCCTGGCAAGCTCCCTGTGGCGTATTCGATATGCCAAACACAGTAACAACAAGTCTCACAATGGAGACGTTACTGGGCCCGCTCGAGCAAATTGATGAACAATGGGAGGACAGTACAGTGCAGTGCAGAGCCATGAGTATCCGCTGAGCCCTGCCAAGTGTGTCCCCAATACAAAAGAAAAAAAATAAATAGATAAAAGAACTACCAGAGCGATAGTACAGCAGACAGGGCATTTGCCTTGCATGCGACCAACCCAGGTTCGATCCCCGGCATCCCAGAGGGTCCCCCAAGCACCGCCAGGACTAACTCCTGAGAGCAGAGCCAGGAGGGACCCCGGAGACTCAAAAGGAGTGGCCAAAAGCAGGGGAAAAAGAAAAAGAACCAAGGAAGGACTCGGGGGGAGGGTTGGCCTCATCTGCGAGTGCCCCCAGCACGTGGTAGTGGGTGGGCAGCCGCAAGGAGAGGTGGACAGTTGCCGGGGGGGCAGCCCGGGGAGGTGGACAGTGGCAGGGCAGCACCGGAATGGCCATACCTCTCTTCTGCACTTTGGCCACCACTTTGCTGTGGGCATCCTTGATCTGCTCGGGGATGGTGATGTCCAGCTGGAGCACGCAGAGGCGGCTGGAGCAGGTCCTCCGCAGGTCCTCGGCTCCCGCTCCCCTCTCGTCCAGGACGCCCGCGAACACCGTGAAGCCCAGCTTGTCCAGGTACTTGCACAGCGCATGGCCCAGGCCGGTATCGACACCTGCAGAGGGACCCGTGCAGCCAGGAGACACGCCAGGCTCTCAGGGGAAGCCAGGCGTGGAGGAGGCAGAGAAGGCGGCCAGACTCTTCGCAGGGTAGAATCGGGACAAGAGGAAGAATTTGGACCGGAGGCGTGACCCGTGCAAATGACCCCGACGTGGCCATTGGCCAAAGGAGGGAAATGCAGCAGGTGGAACGGAGACTCCTCCCCACCGTGGAGGTTGGCGGGGCTGCCGTTCCCCCCCGAAGCTCACCCTGGAATGTCCTCTCACACTAGCACTCGGAGATGGCTCCCCTGGGGGGGACCATCGGGTCCTTGAGTGCCCCGGACTGGAGCAATGACAGAGGCTCCTTCTGGATGATGCATGAGGGTCAGAGCCTTGCGTGCCTCACCCAGAGGCCCCTTGCCGGGCCCCAGGACAGTCAGTGTCCCCGGGAGACCCCAGAAAGCAGGCGGCGGGCTCAGTGCCTGACTTTGCAGAGCAAAGTACCTGGGTCAGGCTGTCAGAGCTTGAGCCGGGCGCTCGCCCAGGTTGCAGGGCATGACAGACTCTGGAGAAGGTGTGGAGGATGTCGATGTCTGAAATGCTGCAGATGCTGCCCAGCACGGAGGGCAACTCTTGGGGCCTCGACAACAGCAGGAAGCGTGGCAAGAATAGCGAGCCCATCTCGCCCACTCAAAAGGCAAGAAGTGGCAATCATGTTTGGTCTATGGTCTACTTTCAATGCCTCTTTTGCAAACCACAACACCCCAAAGGAGAGAGAGAACAAAAGGGAATGCCCTGCCACAGAGGCAGGGTGGGATGGGGAGGATGGGGGGTGAGGGGGATACTGGAATCCATGGTGGTGGGAAATGGGCACTGGTGGAGGGATGGGTACTTGATCATTGTATAGCTGAAACCCAAGCACAAAGATTTGTAAATCTACAACTGTACCTCATGGTGTTTCACTCATAAAAAAAAAAAAAGGCAAGAAGTCCTCTCTGGCCTGGTTTGCACCCCTGGGCATTCCCACTCACCTGGCAGCACCTCTGCTGCAGGAGCTAGGAGCCAGCGTCACCCCCTCCCCCGCACGAATGTGCTAAGTCGGGCTGGAGAGGAAGGACAGTGGGCAGGCGGCCAACCTGGCTTGGATCCCAGCACCCCTGACGGTCCCGCGAGCCCCTGCGAGGCCATGATCCCTGAGTGCAGAGATGGGAGGAAGCCCCAAGCCCCACGGGGTGTGGCTCAAAAAAAAAATTTAAAAAGTGACCGTCACCAGGAAAACAGCACACACACACACACACACACACACACGCACACACACACACCGCTCCACGCACACAGCACAGAGCACCCAGCCGAAGCATCTCCCCAGGAAGGGGAGAAAACTCAGACCACCAGGCTCGGCACCCAGGTCGCCTCGTCACTTGGAGCCCCCCCACAGCCCCCAGCTCCAGGAAGGGAACTGAACTCTGCCCTGCTCAGGGCCCGCCCACCTGCTGCCCCCCAATCCTGTTTTGCACCTTTGTATGTTCCCCACTCCTGCTGCCCCTTTCTTTCCCCATCCCGGGGGGCAGGGGGAGTCCCGAAGAGGTGACCTTTGTCTGGCGGAGCCCCTCTCCTTGGCCATGCTGGGGGGGACCCAGGTCAGACAGCTCCTCCCTCCTGGAAGCACAGAACCGACTTGAAGACGCCGACAGGCATCATTCCCAGGTGGCCTGGGAGCAAAGGAAGCTCGGGGCTGTGCGGGTAATGGCCGACTGTCCATCACATGGACGGAGAAACAGGGCAGGTGCTACAGAAGAACAAGGAGACACAGCCACGGGCGCGAGCAGCGTCTCAAGACTCAGCCTTCCCTGGCGTCCCTCATTCCTGGCCTTTTTCCTAAGCTGCTGGCTAAATGCTTGTACCCTCCCCCCCCCCCCCCACTCCCAGTTGTGCCCACAACAGTCCTACACCAGACCAAGGTCCCTGGGGCCCAGGCTGCCCCCTCTGCACGGCCCACCCCCAGCTCTCCACAGCCCCTGTGTTGGGGCTGGACTAGGCCGACAGGATGAGCCCATGTGCCTGTACGGCTGGAAACAGGGCCCCGTGAAAGTGGGCGCGATTCCTCGTGGGTCCTGACTGGTTTGGATGAGGTTGCACATCTTTTTCTTTAAGTTGCCTTCAGTAAATAATTTCGTAAATTTCAGTTTAGCGAAAGAGTCAGTCAGGCTTCCACTCACAGAAGCCTGAACCCAGCCCTGTCTTTGACGTGCAGATTTCAGGTGCTTAGCCTGTTTGTTTTCAATATGCAGATCCTAGGCAGAATCTTCTCCCCCCATCCTCCCGCCCCCCACCACCCCCCACCACCCCACTACACCCCCACACCAGGCTATCTCGGAAGGGGCCAGGTTGAGTTTCCCTCCCCACCCCAAGAAGAGTCCCGACAGCCGAAAACCTCTAGAACCCAGCCACAACCACGCTCGGATGAGCCTCACCCATGAAGGAACCAGCAGAGGAACCCAGGTATGCGGGACCCGGGGCTGAGATCTCCAGGTCCGCTCGGACAAGGACTGGGCCTCCTCCACCCAGGTCCCCCGTTTTCTAGTAGCCTGGCAGTCACACACACAAGCCACCCCCAGGGCCATGTAATCTCATCAACGGCCAAGATTCAGAGACTAAAATAAAGCACCCGGAAGAGAGCAAAGATAAGCTAGTGAGAGTATCCTGTCTGCACAGCAGAGCCTGGCAAGCTACCTGTGGTGTATCCTATACATGAAAAATAGTAATAATAACGGGACTCATTCCCCTGACCCTGAAAGAGCCCCAATACGCCACTGGGCTATACTAGCACGCGACAGGGATGAATGGAGTTGTTACTGGTGCCCATATGAACAAATCGATGATCAACAGGATGATTAAGTGACAAGTGACATGTGATACAAACAGCATTTAGCCTGTTCGTTTTTAGTATGCAGAAAAGCTTTCAGCTTTGCGTGTTCTTCCTGAAACTTCTTTGTCGTTGCACGTTCTTCCTGTAACTCCTTTGTTGATGACCTCCCTGTACTGAGCTCTTTAGAGTATGAACAGTAGGATAGTAATAAAAGGTAATAAAGGAGATCTCAGGGCTCTCTACCTTTGTCACAGGGTTTGAGCGAACCTGGACCCTCCGTGAAATATAATTTCTCTCGTGTTCCTCGTCTCAGCGCCTCTGACTGAACGAATCTTCACGCAACACGCCTGCCCCACTCCTCTCTTCTCTGAACCCCCGGGGACTTGCAGGTCTTCTGGTGTGAGTGTCCCCCTCCCACCATGCCCCCCTGCCCCTGCCACAGTCCTTGCTTCCTGAATCTGGGTTTAGATTAGGTTTGATGGGGAGCCCAACTGCTCTGGCCTTTCCTAAAGGCCCCTTCTCAGGCCTCTTCTCCCTGTCTCTCCACCTTCACTCATTCCTCATTCACATTCTGTGCCCTTCTGGCACTGACCCCTGTGGAAGAAAGCCCCGCTTCCTGGAGCTCACTGCTAGGATGGAGGGTCTGAGTTGCGAGCTTAGGACTTCTGGGTCCCCCCACTCAGAGACTCCTTAGCTGGTCTGAGCACCAGTAAGTTTCTGAAGCGCTCCAGGTGTGGCCTCCAGGTGTGGCCAGTCAGAGAGTTGTGTATGGAAGGCAGGGATTTGCCTCGGGGGCCCAGTTTGACTGACTGACCTCAGCTATTTCTTGTTTGTCACAACTCTGGGGGTGCTATTGGCCTCCAGTGGGTGAAGGCCAGGGAAGCAGCTCAGCTACCAGCAACACACAGAGGCTGGGTCACACCGTGTGGGAGCCCCACTAGAGTTACCAAGCCCCAAAGTCAATAAGCTGGAGGTGGAACTACAGGGAAGACGGACATTAGGTAAATCCTTCCACCAGAGCGTGGTGGAGGTTGTAAGTTCAGAAGCATCGGGAATCAGGGACCATTTTTTTGCGAAAACACTGAGCTCCTCCACCCATGGACAGGCACTGGGGGATAACATGGGCACGACAGAGAAGGAGGGAGGTGGCGAGGTGGCCTCCCCCAGGACTGACATCCAAGGACACAAGGGCCAGGAAGATTGTTCCTAGTTGGAAGTCTGCCTCATGAGCTGGGGGGGAAGGCAGCTGGAATAGAGAAGGGATCACTAAGAAAATGATGGCTTGAAGAATCGGTTGGAATAGGAGGTGTGTGCTGAAAGTAGACCAAGGACCAAACATGATAGCCTCTCAGTATCTGTATTGCAAAACATCACGAATCACGACGACCATCCTGTTATTCGTCGATTGCCTCGAGCAGGCCCCAGTAATGTCTCCTTCATCCTAGCCCTTAGATTTTTAAGAAAGTGCTATATTCAAGGCTCTTCATTATTGCAAAACATAATGCCCAAAAGTAGAGAGGTAGATCGGGGGAAATTGTCTGCCATAGAGGCAGGGGGAGGGCAGGTGTCCACACCCTGCAGCCCTCCACAAACACTTCCTGATGACAAATGACCAAGTCCAAGCACCACCTGCCTTCTCCAGTCTTAGTGCCATCGCACGGCCCAGGGGCCCTTGCCGCTTCTGCATGTCCCTGCCCTGGTGTGTCCTCTGGTCTCAGGCTGGTGAGTCCACCTCCCCCAACTCCCTGCCTCTGTGTCTGCCACTTTCCAGGTGGAAAGGGGTGTCATTGCACATCTGATAAAGCCACCGTGTCAAATGGCCCAGAATCATAGCTAGTGTTTGCGGTGTGTAGAGAAACCAAACGAGGGCCCGAGATGACCGGGCAGAGCAGGGGAAGTGGCAGACTTTGGAGTGATGGAGATGCACTGACTTCATCAGTCGAGACCATCAAAGGGAACACTGTTGCAGCCAGGTGACCTAATTTTCAAAAAGGAACAAGAAACTTAAAAAAAAAAATAAGAAGAGGGGCCAGAGCGATAGCACAGCGGGTAGGGTGTTTGCCTTGCACGCGGCCGACCCGGGTTCAATCCCCGGCATCCCATATGGTCCCCCGAGCACCACCAGGTGTAATTCCTGAGTGCAAA